TATATATATATATATACATATCATTATCTCATAGTGCATGCATCCATCTTATTTATTGCTCAACTTGACACCCGCATTGAGGTCTTTTCAAGAAATTACAGAGGGACGGGTTGTGCGGAATTTATTTATTTTCTCATATAAAAAAGAGAGGTCATAGGAAGCTTTCAAAGGATCAAAGATTTGGAAAGAATATGACATCTAAGAATCTCTGTGGTTATCTCTCTCTCTCTATAAAGATCACACACACTCTTCCCCTCCTATTTACAGGAAGCAAAGATTTTTCTTTGAGCTAATTTACAGCCGCCCGGAACATCCTAAGAAAATATAGAGCGAAAAGCACAAGATCTAGCAACACAGCTTCTCCCATATCTTCGTCATAAAAACAAAATATTTACCGAACTATACATATAAATTCACGAACAATATGGAACTCTACATTCTTAAAGAATTCAACGCTGTATTAATTTTCTTATAAATATCACTATAACAAATCACATCATAAAAAAAAACAATTTTTTTTACATGAGACAACAAAAATAATTATAGGTATTGGCATTGAATAAAACAATTAAAAAATTTCATCACTGACCCTAAGTAAATAACTCGTTTAAATAATGAGGGATGGAATGGTAAATAATATAAAAATATGTATTTTTTTGCATTCACGCATCTCCACACATGTTATCCAAATCGGATATTAATATTAATTAATATATTCAAATATTAAATAAATTAAAGTTAGGAAAGGGAGGTGATTAATTAAGAAATAAATATGACCTGTAACTAAGATTTTCCATTAAACAGACCAAATTCAACTTAACCTTTGCATTATGGGACAATGAGAGTTTGCATCATTGGTTTGAAATAAATATATTTAGGCAGGGGTTGGTATGCAATTTTAAAAAAATAAGGCTTGTAATATTGATTTAATTAACTGCCCCACGTGGATGTCAACGGGAACAGTTCATTATTTTGTGGGGGTTTTATTGCAAAAAAAATTGGTCATCCATAGTATAATTGACTTCTTGTATTGATGTTGTATAAATTAAAATAGGGGGATTTGAATGCATCATATAGTTAATATATATTTACCTATCTACTACTCAAAAAAATTATATTTACTTATATGTCCAAATCATATCAAACACACGCATCAAAAAGGTTAATTTACTAAAAAAAATTTTAATATTATTGTGTGTTAGGAATTTAAGGTTGTAGAGTGATAGTTTAATATTTTACTTTTGAATGAAGATCAAATATATAAGTGAAGAATGAGAGATAAAAGAGTGAAGTTCATACAACAATGAATAATAATTAGGCTATAAAAGTCGACATGACGCTAATCTTGGGTAGCTGGTGGCGAGCTTAGGCGATCAGTGACAATCTATGGTGGTCGAAGGAGGCCTCTCATGGCCTGCAACAATCCCTGGTGGTTGATTATGACCTCTGGTGGTTGACTGCGATCACTATTGATTAACAACAAACACTGATAGTCGACAACGATTCTGAATGACCGGCGACAACCACACCAATGCTTCGAGAGTTTAACTTTAGGAATCAACACACTCTCTTCTCCCCCTCCTTTCATTAAATAATATTGGGCTTATTGAATTTCTCATCAAACAACACAATTTTAATATTGTTTAGTCTTCTAATTAATACATCAAAACTTTTGATCATACTTAAAGTACTTGATCTTAGAATCATTTTCATTATCATTAGGTTCTTATTACCGAGATGCTCAATTGAAATACTATTACTCAAAATGCATCGAGATTTGTATTGAATCACATAAATTTATTGACGGCATGTCAAATATTAATGATACTTTTCATGTTATGTTGTAGATTTTTATATCCTATATATGAATATCAAAATTTAAATATAAGATATATTTGATAAATTTGACCAAAATCTCTACACATTTTATCGAAAAAATGTGTTGATTCCTATGTTGATTGATCATTATTTCAGTACCTAAATGTCTTAATGATATTAGAATTAAATAATTTTTGGTAGGTTGGATTCAGATACCTTGATTTGACAATAATGATGCCTAAATTCAAGGATCATTTAACATTTCAATTAATATTTGAATATTTCAATTACATTTATGCTTATTTGAACCCCAATCAATTATACTTCTTAATAATGTTGTTTAAAAAATGAAATTTAACTTTTTTTTATTTATAAGAAAATAAAAATCAAGAATTGGTTCATTTTAAGGATATATTAAGCGTGAAAAATGTGGAGTGTGAACAATTTGGATAATGCGGCGGATTAGCGTTAATTGGTCTATTTTTGTTTGGTTGCTGCTTGAGAATTCTGCTTGTGGTCGCCGTCTTAACTTTGACAATGAACTTGCCTCTGGATACTTACTCCACACTTTTCTTATCAGAATATATTTTAAAATCATTTATTTAAAATTTTTAAATATATTTATTTAAAAATGAAATATTTATGCCAATTTTAGAGAAAATGTATTATGAGAATAATATGTACACAAAAAAATATGTCAGCATGAATCTCAAGACAATCTGACAATCTCGAAATGAAATAACACGATAGAAGCAGGCTTACCATAGATCGGCCCGACGGCCCAGAAGAATTGTCGGCTTATTGTCACGGACAAATAGTCCACATTGGCTAGGTGTAGGGCCGAAAAGCAGTATTTAAGTCCTGGGCTGCCCACCACCCATAAGGGCTCTTTTGGGAGGTGACAAGTGGTATCAAAGCAGACTACTGTCTGCCAAGTGTGTGGACTCTCCATGGTCCAGTGAGACCCTCGGTGGAGCCGATCCGTGACGAGGGCGGCCAGTGATTGGGTGGAGGAGAATGTCACGGACAAATAGTCCCACATTGGCTAGGTGTAGTATTTAAAAACAATATTTAAGTCCTGGGCTGCCCACCACCCATAAGGGCTTTTTTGGGAGGTGACATTATGCTGGCTATAAATTATCCGAATATTGGCCGGTTGAATCAGTCTCGCCGGTCGTCGCCATAAATTCATCCGATTGTGTGGATTTGAAGGACCGACCAACCAACGAGCTCGTCTAAAACGCCAACCGTCAGTATTGATCGGCTCATCTTCGGCCTCAATCGATCGAGCCAGATAACGACAAGACCTTTAGTCCACATAAATATAATTCCTAAAATAACATGTGCAACACTCGATAAAATAAGGTTAACAATGTAATTTTTCTTCATTGCACTTCCACTACAAATGAATGTTTAATTTGTAAATATTAAGGTCTCGGACGGTTTGCATGTAATTATCTCACCCTCAGTCTGCGACTAAGGCTGTCAAAAAAGCTCGTTGTTCGTGAACAATTTGTGTTTGGTTCGTCAATGAGTTCGTGTTTGATTCGTTCGATAAGTAAAAGAGATGAACATGAATAATTTTTTTTTCATTTGGTTAGTTAAATGAACCAAACACGAACAGGGATGCGTTCATTCGTGTTCGAATCATTATTATTCAAAATATAAATTAATTTAAAATAAATATATATAAAAAACTTACGATATTTTAAAAAATTAAATTTTATAAATTATAATATATAATAAATTAATAATAATAATATATTAATATACTATATTAATAATATATTAATATAGATATTATATATTTATATAATATATGTTATATAATTTTTATTTATATATATTAATATTAAGAATTTCAAACTCTCTCGAACAGTTCTTGTTCGACTTATTTGTTAAAAAAAGAGCACGAAGAATGAATTCACTGACAATTTCAAACTAACTAAATCTGTTTGCGGCTGTGTGCTCCTCTGCCACTTCATCCTCATGGCCAATAACGCACTGAAAACCCTAAACCTCAATTCAGAGATTGCGTCCAATGATTCGCCCTCCTTCAAGGTTTACTGCTTCAGCTCCACGCCCTTCGTCTCTTCTCGCTTTCTTCTCTTCGTTCTGGTTCATCATATTCTCTCACTGTAATCGAGATGCAGATAATTTTGGGCTCTTCCTCCTCATCTCGCAGGCAAATTCTGTCCGATATGGGATACGAATTCTCGATAATGGTTCCTTCTTTATTTTTTCTTATATTTGTTAGTTTTCATTGGTTTTTTAAAAATTTTGATTTGGGGAAATGTGGGATTGCTTCAGACCGCGGATATAGATGAGAAGAAGATTCGTATGGAAAGGCCGGAGGAGCTGGTGATGGCCCTAGCTGAAGCCAAGGTGAAAGCGTTGAATAGGCATACGTTTCGCTGCTTTGTCGCCTGTTAGCTGTTTCCCTAATTTTTAGGGTTTCTTAGGGTTAGTTTTTGTTACCCAGGCAGATGCAATTATAAGCAAGCTTCAAGTTATTGAGTTCAGGGAGAAGGATGAGCCTACCCTCTTGATAACTGCAGACCAGGTTTGCAAATTCTTTCATTCTTGTTTTCATTTATGCTTCATTGTTTCTCATCTCCTTTTCTTTTTTTATCTTAATCACATCATTTAATCGCTGTTATTTTGAAAGCTTAACTTTAAAAAATGATAGATTTAGACAAATTTACATATAAACCTCACCATTCCATTGTATTTACATATCTAAAACCTTGAAATTTATATTTATCACACTTTAGTGCTAGACACTGTGCATGAAAAGGTGTATTTAAAAAGTTAATAATAGAGATGTTTTTGATGTGATATTAAAGATTTTAGTGTTGTGTATCTGAAGGCTAAAGGTTTAGGAGTTAGATATGTAAATACATAAGAATTGTATGGTATGTGTGTTGATGCCCCTAAAATTTATTGTACTGATCTTGGTAGGCTGGTGAGAAAGGGAAGGGATGAATGCAAAGTTATATGCGTTCATAATTTTGATCCAAAAGTACAATAATACAGTCTCATACATCATCTAAAACAATGCTTCCCTGCATCCATTAATCTGTAATTTTCAATTAAAGATAATTTGGGCATTAGGTGAATTTTTGCTTGGCCTTATATTGTAAATAACCATGCTTGTACTTCACTAGTTTTTTTAAGGATTCCCTTTCGTGTTTGTTTTTGGGTCTCCTCGGCTCTTTCTTGCGTGTCTTCCAATACTGTTGAATTTTAGCAAACACGTGTCTTTTGTCTCTGATTCTTCATCTTTCTTCCTTTTGTTACTTATGCAATCCTTATCATAGGTCTCATGTGTTAACCTCTGTGGGATTTCCATTTTTGTTGTTTTCTTACACAATTTTTATCACAGTTCTTTCATCCATGATTGTTTATGGGATTCCCATCGCTGGTGATCTCAAGCTGTGAATATGCTAGGATTGCCTAGGATTGTCAATATTGGACCTAACATAAAAATCTGACTCAAAATCATCATAAAAATTTGAATTTAAGTCAGCCCTTGTAAGATTTGGGTTGGATTTGGATTATGTGACTAAATAGTTGGTTTGGGTTCAGGTCGTGTCAGGGTGACTTGTAGAAAAATAAAAATAATGTCTTAACCTATTTTATTGTTTTTTTTCTCCATTAAAACTAATATTAAATTATTATTATTATTATTATTTTATGTTTTAATGTCCAAATCAGGTTATTTTGTCCATTATGTATTAGTTTGACACACCCAATATGACGCATTGTAAGGTTGGGTATATTTTGAGACTAGCAGCTCCGTTGATATGCGGTTTGGGTTCTATATTTGCATTGGACCTGAACTTCAATTATTATTAACCCAAATTAACACGCCAATGTTATTGATTTTATTGATTTTTTGTTGTTGTAAATGGTGAATGTTTTTAATTTTAAATTGCAGTGTTTGGAGGAGTGTAAAAAAAATTACATGACGTTTCACTCTGACTATTCATTTATTTCGTATTTGATTTAGCACGTTTAGAATGTAATTTGCAATCGGAGATTGTTGATGTTCGAGCGAAGTTATCTTTTTCAACTGTCTATAAATTTGAATGTTATCCTAAAAATATATGCAAGCACAACAACTACATGTCCATATGGTAATAGTGTAGGATAAGATCAAATAATGGCAATACAGTGCCGCATTTTGTATGAAATTAAGTGCCATGTCTTTATTAGTTCCTCTCAGGAAACATTCTAGGGAGTTCATCTAGACGGTCTTTCTTAGGAATTCTTCTTGGGAGATATTCCCTGCGATCGTCCTGGATTCTCTCGGCTTGTTTTCAGGAAACCTTCTTCCCTTGCTAGCTAGCATACTTTTCTTACCCACAATACTTTCTAGAAGCCTTGATTCATATTTAACATGCCTCTTGCATAAGTTCTAGCAAGCATTTATGGATATCGCTCATTATCAAGCATATCTAGCCAACCCTTCGGTGTATTCAATGTGATGCACATACGCCCTTATTAAAATAGTGAACTTGCAATAGATCACCTAGTGGCGCAATTGTGAATTTTCACCTTCTTCTATGTAAATCCTAGATTTACTACTTTCTATTACATAAATAGAGTGCGCCAATTCGCCATGCATTGATTAGCATCATTGCTTCAGACCACTACCACAGCCATCTTTGTTGACATGTCTCAAAGCACTAAGTTTGACTATAAAACCCCATCAATCGATCATTTAAAGGTACTGTTTTTTGCCTATTATTCAAAGATTTTTGTTTGAACATATCTACCAAGGGTAGAAAATGCATCAAAAGAATTATGAAGAGAGGCACAACCAGGGTAGCATGGACAGAAATCGCACAAAATGATTCGTAGAATATGTTTAATACTTATGTTAACACTCAAGACGAATAAATGGAGAAGGAAGATTCTTAAAGCAAACCTTAAATGGTTATGGTAAGATAATGATCATACATTTTTGCTAGAAATTGAAACCTATATGCAACGTGTATTGTATTAAAAGTAGAAAAATTTTGATAAAGGTAACTTCTAGAATTATAGTAGACGAATAATGGATAAGTGCCTCATGAGATGCTAAACTTCATGTGATAAGGATTACTATATGTTAGGTATGACTCGTATACCAGAAAATTTGAAGTATTTTAAAATGGAGAGACGTGTCTCCAGGAATGAAAATGAGTCTCTTGGTGTGAAGAGGTGTGTCTCTTGGATTAGTGGGTTGGGGGGAGCGAGGTATGTTTGTAAATTTATCTGTGGGTTTTATCTATAAATAGATGTGTAATCCTATAAATATGTAACTCTTCTGAAATAGTGAATTCGTCGCTCTGCTCCCGAGAATGTAGGCATCTTTGCCGAACCTTGTTAAATCTCTGTGTTCTTTTGGTTTTATGTCGATTCTGTATTTTCTTCATCTTAAATTTCACAACAATTGATATCAGAGCGAGATTCTAGAGCGGAAGAGATGGCCCAGGAAGAATGAGGAAGAAGGTTTTGGTTCGGCGGTTTGCGGCAGTTACTAAAGCTTTCGCGAAAGATCTGGCCAGACGAGTTCTGCGACAATTTGGCCGCAGAAAGGTCGGAGGCGATGGCGAAGGAATTGGCGAACGGTTTCGCGGCACGGAGTTCGCGCTTCAGAATTTTTCTGGCTTCGGTGAATTCGACCGAGGAAGGAGTTCGCGAATTGCTTGCGGGAACTGGAGTTCCCGCGGAAGTTCAGCGAATTCGGCGGATTTGGTCAGGACGCAGTGCTCGCGAACAGGCGGCACTTTGGCTGGCGGAGCAGTAGGCGCGAAAGGCAAAAGCTGTTCGGCGCAGACGAGGGATTCGCGATCAAGGCAGTTGTTCGTGTGGGATCGTTTGGAGAGGAGTTCGCGTGCTATCCTGTGGAGAGGCGCGATCGGCGCAGAGGAAGGGTCGAAGACGAAGTTCGTGGGCTTCGAACGTGAAGTGGAGCCCGCGATTCTGCCAGGGTGCAGGGGCTTCGGTTACTGTTTGCAGTAGGGGCTCCAGACGGGAAGAGGATTCACGGCAGAGGAGGAAGAGTCCGCGCGGGAGAAAGTTCGGCCTGGTCGGTTTCAGCGAGGCCGTTACAGGAGTCCGCGAGTTGGTTTCACTCCCTCATCACAGCGAAGACGCGGGAGGGAGGGTGTTGGGCGGTCGAAAACAGGGAAGGAAGGGATCAACGGAATCTACCTCGGAATTTCCTTTGCTGGACGCTGAAGGAAGGAAACTTTGGATTTCCTTTGCTGATTGGAATTTCCTTTACTGGAGACTGAAGGAAAGTTTCCTTTGCTGATTGGAATTTTCTTTACTGGAGGCTGAAGGAAGGAAATTTTGGATTTCCTTTGCTGGAAGCGAATTCCTTTCATGGAGTGAAGAAATGATCTTTTTTGGAGGTTTGCGGCTGTTGTGAGACGAATTGGGCTCGCGGGAACGAACATGTGCGAAGCAGTTCAGATAAAGGGTTGCGACAGTTCGGTGAGTTCTGCTTCGAGAGTTCACGGTAGAGGTCGGCCAGATAGCAGGTTCGCGTGAGAGGGCTTCAGCGACAGGAGAAATTGCGACAGTTACAGTTCGACCAGCAGAGTTCGCAAGTTCATCGTAGGAGTTGCGACATGTGGAGTTCAACGGGTAGAGTTCGGTCAGTGGAGTTCGCAAATTGCGACAGGTGGAGTTGCGACAGGTGGAGTTGTGACATGTAGAGTTCGGCCAGCATAGTTCGTAAGTTCGTCGCAGGAAAAATTACGACAGGTGGAGTTCGCGAATTTCGCGGATTGTTCACAGGTTTGTCGCTTGAGAAAATGTGATAGGTAGAGTTCGGCTGGTGTCCACAATATTTCAGTTGAATTTTTTGTGCGAAAAAAAAGTTTCTTCGTGTGAAAAATTTGATTCACGAATTACAGGAAACTGCGGGGAAATTGCTGCAACTCACAGAGGAAATTTCAGGTTTATTTGAATTTATTTATTGTGTGTTTTGTTTTAATACAAGACAGGAAAAGTTCACTGCATAATTAATTTTAAATGATAATGTCTGATACAAAATTCGAGATAATGAAGTTGAATGAAACAGAAAACTTTGGATTATGACAAACAAGGGTGAAAGATTTGTTGGCACAATAAAAAATTCTGAAGGCACTGCGAGCTATAAAACCGGATGGTAATATCTATAAATTGTCGGGGAGTACAGTTGTAGGTGAAGTTCAATCTGTCGGATCATATGATGAAAATGCAGTAGAAAAGTTGACCAAGCCAAGTATTTTTAACAAATTTTTGCGTTACTTGAACTTGTTGAATGTTTACAGTTGCTAGTTGGCATGGTTGCCCAACCCACTTCGGTGTAAGATATTTCATGATGTTTTCTACTAAGGGGCTGGATGTTTGCAAGGTGAAGATTTTTTCCTAAGAGGCTAGATATTCGCCAAGGCGGAGAATTGTTAGGTATGACTCATATAACAGGAAGTTTGGAGTATCTTGAAATAGAGAGATGTGTCTCCTGGAATGAAAAATGAGTGTCTCTTGGTGTGAAGAGACGTGTCTCTTGGATTAGTGGGTTAGGGGGAGTGAGGGCATGTTTGTAAATTTATCTGTGAGTTGTATCTATAAAGAGATGTGTAATTCTATGGGTATGTAACTCCTCTGAAATAGTGAATTCGCCGCTCTGCTCCGAGCATGTAGGCATCTTTGTCGAACCTCGTTACATCTTTGCATTCTTCTGGTTTTGTGTCGATTCTGTGTTTTCTTCGCCCTAAATTTCACAACACTATAAAGATATTAGGGAATATTATAAAGAAGTTGAGTTAGATCTTATAAATTGCAATTGACAATTAGAACACTTACACTTACATGATTTTGAGGGATGAACAACAAAGATACCGAATTTTTGTTGATAAAAAAATGTGAATGATAAGATAGAAATGTGTTAAAACAATGAAGAATGGTGCACGAAATGATCATAAAAGGACTATGAGTGATGAGTATTGGGGCTAAGATATTAAAAGTAGACATAAGTGGGTTGTTGATTCTCATTAGAGGGTAAAAGATGTTAATGTGGCATAATTGCAAATAAAAATGTTTAGATGACATAATATTGCTAGGATTTATGAAAAAGTTGCATGCTATATATTTGCCATATTTAATGACACTCAACGGAAAAGAATAAAAAAGAATAATCATAAATAAGACTCACTTGTTGTTAATAAGATTGAAGTTGATTAAAAGCCCCTAGTTCTTGATATCCTAGAATAAACTTATAGCTCGGTATCCATTAATTGAAATTTAAACATATATTTAATATGTGCATATGTATTCATGCATTGCCACATATACATTTCATTTTGATCTTATGCTAGCTTAGTCCGGACCAAAAATCAATCTGATTTTTTGAGCGATCTTCAATCTTCAAGTCAAATTCATAACTATACTTGTAACTCTACCCTCTATGTAATCTTTTGTATTGTATGTGATTTGTGGAAGGATATCTTTTTTTCTATTGTCTTACAAAATCGTTGGTTCCCTCACAAAAAACCTTTGCTATATCTCAAACTTTAAACAATGCAACTTTTACCATATGATTCGTTTTTACATGATTGCCAGCATAAGCAAGCCCAATTTGTGTTACTTTTCTAGATTTTGCTCAATACTGTTGGCATTTCAGCTTTTAAGTTTTGATTTTTCTTAAGGTTGTTGTCCATGGAGGAAAGATCAGAGAAAAGCCTTCCAGCAAAGAAGAAGCACGGGAATTTCTCAAAGGCAATTATTTATTTATTGGGCATTTTACATAATAACCACACAATTCTTATATATTTACATATCCAACACCGAAACTTTCATATTGACTCACATAACACTGAAATCTTTGACATCACATAAATATCACTATAACCAACTTCTTTAAAAGTGAAATGCACCATTTCATGTATTGGTTACTAAGTGTAAATATCAAACTTTACGTAAATGCATAAGACTTGGGTGGTATATATGTAAATTTCCATTATTTATTTTTACAAAAAGAGGTTTAACAGAATTCGGATTGCAGTTTGACGACATGTTTTGCTTTGGTTTATTTCTTCAGGATACTCCGAGGGGCACGCAGCAACTGTAGGATCTGTTCTCGTGACCAACCTTATGAATGGCGTTAGAAAAGGAGGATGGGACAGAGCTGAAGTGTGACATTCATCTTATTCATATTTCATAGTGATTAAATATACATATTTTCCTATCCTGAAAACATGAGCGTTTGGAACTCATGCTTTCAAAAATGTTGATTTATAAGGATTTATGTAGGAAGCATGCCCATGAATAAATTAAAAAGCTTTTTGTATCTTAATTTTGCAGGTATATTTTCATAAAATACCTGATGAGATCATTGAAAACCTGGTATTTTTCATTTTTTAATGCATTGCTAATGAGAAAAGTGTTCCCCTGAATCTTTGTAGATGGTTATTTTAGTCCCGGAGTCTATAAAATATCATCTTAATCCCCAAACTCTTTTGATATTGAACTCAGCCTCCGGGACTCTGGTAAAACAATGGAAGGATCGATTAATTTGACATTTTTATAGACTCCAGGAATAAAATGATCCCATGTAAATAGGGCAGCGGACTATTTTCCTATATACTTTCTTTTGACCCGTTGTTATGTTTCATGCAATCTTTTTCAGGTGGATGAAGGTGAGGTTATGTATGTTGCTGGCGGTTTATTGGTGGAGCATCCATTGACTTCTCCTTTTGTGGAAGCAATGGTGAGAAGTTTCAGCTTCTTTTCTTCAGAAAAATTAGTTATCTGCTTGCTATTTGGAATCCCTCTGCAGATGTATTTGTTGTTGTGCAGGTTGGAACGCTTGATAGCATCATGGGGCTTCCCAAGGATTTAACAGAAAGGCTGATCCAAGATGCCCTTCTACCTTAACGGCCATGCTCTCAAAATACCTCGCCACTTAGAACTCTCGAGAAATTTATTTGTTTTGATAGGTGACATATCCAATTTGACAATCCAGAGTGGATGGACAATATCTTGATGGAGAGTTGGGGCTCTTACAAGATTTGATTTTGATTTAGTTTGTATCCCTATTTTTATGTATTTGAGGAATTGATTTCATGTGAAATTATGTGATGATAAATTTGGTTTAGCTTAAAATTTGACTGTTTTAGTGCTATATTCTTTGATGAGAGGGACATTCCAACTATTTTATTTTTAAAGTGGCTTATAAGGTATGCGTAGCCTTGCGAGCAACTTTATTTCAATTATTATGCACATGACTTTGATGGAAATGACCTTATATTTTAATGTACTATGCTGAGTTTTGTACGCCTGAGTTTGGAATCCTATGCGTTGTCATTAAATGATTTTCATTGAGATTGCTTAAATATGTGTATCCAAATTTGGTAACGTATTTGGATATGATGATGATTGTTTCTAAATGTAGCTAATGACTTTTAATCCTTAATAATATTGTTAAAAATATAGTTTTAACCTAATCACCTTGTGAAACAGTTGGATTGATTTCTTCCGGCACCGTGAACTAAATCATTTAATTCAGAATATTTTGATCTAAATAAATAAAAAAATTATTTCAATGTTCCAAGTCATTTTATCTATTAATAATATTATAAATCTGAATAAATCTAACAGACATGATTGCCTCTAATTTTCTCTCCTCCCATGGGAAAGCCAAGTTCAGATACATGGAGAAAAATATATCAAAACTAGTTAAATGTGCATTTACAGGGCAATTATTATGCTAGTTATAAAGTATTGTATTTAGCAACCCAATTCATAAAGCAGGATACTAATTCATAGAAGAGGCCAACAAAATCATTCCAGAACATTTCAGAGGAGCCTATCAAAACCGAAACCAACATCGACCGAAGATATTTCTCCTGAAAGAACTCAATCAACATCTTTATTATAACGCAACGGACTTTTAACACAAAAACTATTCAAACCATCTCAAGCAAGGAAATTATTACAGTAAATAAACATCGAATCAATTCAATGAACATTTAATTACGAATGAAAATACAAAAGAGCAACAGGCCGCCACCATCTTCCGCTGAAATCTCTCTGCATTAAAATCTCAAATGGTGCTCGATTGTGCTGGTGACATAAAACAGTTTGGTGATTGTACAGTAGAGGAATTCAAAAGGATTACTATGACTGCTAAGGCACAGACGAAGCTCCTCTCTCCCCCACCCGAAATTCTCCTTCCAAAGAGGACTTCCTTCTTCTGATTTCCTATTCACTATATGTTAAATTCTCAAACAAACGGTAATAAGCAAAACTAGGGTTCCAAATGTAAATGTGAGCCGCATGTGGTCTATAATAAAAATTTTGGGCCACAAACTTCTTATGTATTTACATATCCAATCTCAAAAAAGTTTGATGTTAACACTTGTAACATTTTGGCATTCATAATCCTACCCATGAAAAGGTGTATTACACTTTTAAAAAGAGACTAAAGTTGGTAATTTTTTTTTTGTGATTTTAAAGATTTCATTGGCATGCATGTAAATATATGAATGTTTAGGCGTTAAACACTTAAATACATAAGAATTGTTTGGCAGGAATGTAAATGCCCCAAAAAATTTATATAATAGTTTCACTTTAATTTCATACTCTCTACAATTCATCAAATCAGCATTGACTGTATGAATGCATACATAAAAAGTGGTAAGCAAACATAAATGGAACATAAGGGAAGCAATAGATGAAATATTAAAAAATGTAGGGGTAACTACCTTATCGGCGGTCTTTTGGTTTTCCAGGCTGTGTTCGAGGAATAGCAACAATTGCCCCCAACCCGGCAAAAAAAGCTGAAGCTGCTCCCACAGCGAAGGCTGGAGAGTTCCCACCACCAAATAACTGATCCCATGGTCCACTCCCAAGAGATACAATGATCTGATTTTGCATTAGTGCTTTCAATATCAGCTATAGATGATAATACTAAGAAACTAAAAGCAAATGGCAAACTATGCTAACTTCTTTAAGCACAAAACAACTATTCTTTTTCCCAATTTCCCCAGAGTGCCTCTCATCACAACAGATTGCCGATACTGAACTGCCACAATGTCCAATAAGACAGGAAAGAAACACATTTAAAATCTACCCTTCACACCCTTATAACTCCAGCATGACCTGTAGGCTGGCCTTGGCGAGTATTCGTTCTTGTTATACTATGCCATTTTAGTGTTGGAGCAGGATAAATTGAGCCCACTCAATGGCAAACCCCTACATCTAAACCTAGCCCTTCCATGTACATAGTGGGCTTGAGGGCCAGCTTGGCCCACAAGCACTCTTATTGTTTGCTAGGATGGTGATCTGATGCCAAGAAAGGCGCAACTACAATGTTATACTTGGTTTGATAGCAATGTAAATTGTGTTAACTTAGTAGTAGATGCCATACTTCTGTTGATTATAAATATATGTATAAGCATAATTACTGGGCTAATTAAAATATTATATTAATAACTAGAAGAATAAAACTAAATATATGTGAATTCCAACATGTTACCAAATATAGCAGGCTCCCGTTTGATGTGCTGAGGCCTGAGGGGCATGGCGGTAGATTACAAAGCAAAGTTTAATGTTTAGATCGTTATTTTATCTTGATGGTTTAGATCACTATGTGTGGAAGAGGGTCCACAGAGAAGAACAAAAATGTAATATTTCTTAGAGGATTAAGGGATTCTATTGGACAAATGTTGGGCCCCTTGCAACTCATTAATTACCAGTCAATGGTGGAACATAACATCCTAATCAAGAAAACACTATGGACCTGACAACAAATAATTATATGGTGGAATAAGTCTGGGAACGGAAATGACTCTAAATTCAAGATAAACCGAATAAGAAAAATACATGCCCAAAGTAGGAGAAAAGGCACAAAAGGCAATACTTGATGTCCAAAAACCCTAAATGTATGGTATGAATCAATTTCATGCGCTCGATTGTTTGCGAAATACCAAATAAGAATCTCAAGAAAAGCTGAACTTGATGACAAGAACATCATAAATCCAAGTATTCATTTTGGCTTAGCAATCTCTCTTACTTAGACCATATAATCACTGATGCAGAAGTATATTTATGGACCTATAACCATAATTAATTTCCCCAAGCCAGCTATCATCCCAAAACACGAATCTTTCTTGAACTAGTGGATACTATAATAGATTCATCAGAACATTTTCACATAAGGCAACACCACTGGCCTAACTGCTTTGAAAAAGATGTATGCGAATAAACAAATACGTGTGAAATCACTATCGGCTATTAAAGGACTGTCTCATGATAGCATCAATATTAAATCTTCTGAATGGAATAGATGAGTTCCAGGCTTATAGCAATGCTCACTTATAGTAATTAGAATGTTCATTGATGCAGCATGATTAACTTATCGCTTAGGCCACTAGACAAGCGAAATCATAAGAGAAAAAAAAAACGCCAATTCATGGATTGGAAGTATTAGCAGTCATAATCTTCACTCAATTAGAGACTTCAACTTCATGATGGGTGAAAAGCTTCACTGATCATCAAAATATAAAGCTCTTCACTTATGACTCAATTTGTAATAAACATTAAGGTTGGAGTCGCTAGAAGACCATGAATTTCAAACTCAGTATAACTCAATAGAACCCAATGTTGTAGCAGAAAATAGTAGGAAATTTGTTTTGAGTGCAATAAAAAGCCAAGTGAAACAGATAATAATTAGTCCTAGCATATTCAACTATTCACTAAAAGCTAAGAAGAGGATCCACAATTGTTCAAGTGGAAGTTGCACACTGAAGGAGTGGGTTGAGCATAATCTCACTTAGACAAATTCATATTCTTGAGGAAAACTCAAATGTAGAACGGAAGAAATTGGAGATAAATCATCCTACAAGATGCACACACTGAAATATATTATTCATCCTAAACAGATACGATGCATGAAGAATTAAGGAAAAAAATTTGATAGCTAGGATATTAAAGATTTAAAAAAGTTTTATGAGCAAATAATATACCTATCAAGAAGGGTTGAACTCTAGAGATTGAGATTATTAACTTCACAAATATATCAAAATGGCAGGGGAATAATGTGGATATGGGATTGGCGGCCAATTGCTAAGAACACCACAAGTAAATGACAACTTGGGTGATTGTCAATCATTTAATCCAAAAGTGCACATGCTTCATGCCAAACCACTGAGCGCTAATAGTGAATGGATGAACTTGCTTAAAAATCTTATTTGAATAAAGTGTGGATTGCAACAATTATGTTTGACCCAGTTGATGTACTCATGTGTGGACTGAAAAGTCGACACTCTCGACTCTCGCATTGTTGAGATTTTTATATTTAGTATTCCGGGTCAAAATTTCAAAAGGCAAATTGAATTGTAGATAGAATTCTACTGAGGCGTAAAACAAAGCGATAAAGAGAAAATTGGGAGTTTCAGAGGCCATCTATCGTACGTTGTGATCTTGTCGTTGCTTCCCCGTTGGCTCTAATCATGACTGCAACATGAATAGACAAGCGCGAAGGGGAAAGGAGGCAGGCTGACATATAAGAAAGCATGATTGATTTCAAGCGAACAAGGAATTTCATCTTTTTGTGAGTTGCAATGAATAGAGGGAAACACAAGGGATCAAAGGTGAGGAATTCGGCTTGGATGTGTGAGGAAGAAACAGAGTGACATTGGGAGAGGCTTTGTGCTTTTTGAACCAAGAAAAAAAGGTGCTGGGGAAGAATAGTTGAGACAAGGGTTCTTGCGAGAAGGATAAGTGTGAGATAGGGTTCGATTTCGATCTCGTGTCTAACAGTTATGCGAAAACGAAGAGAAACATAAGGAGATACAAGATCTGTAGTGGAAACAGTTATGAGGATCGTGGGGTAGGAATAAGTATAGAATATTTCAGTTATTTTAAAATTTTCTTATTCTTTTTATTCAGTTTGCACGGCAACAAATTCAAATTAACTTCAACATGGGTTTTTATCCATAGACTGCCAGACAATCTAGAAGAACAATCCAAGCTTTGGAAGCTACACTAGATGTATATACTCTCAATTTAGATGAGCGCTAGAAACAACACAAACCTTGGTAGAATTAATAAACAACCACCACCAAACTAGCATTCAAATAGCTTTATATAAGGCAATGTGTGGTAAGTGTGGATTCCCATTGCGCTAAATGAAGACATGAGAAAGAGCAACATTTGAACACAATTGGTGAACAAAACGGAGGAAGATCAAAACTATTCGATAAAGACTGTAAATTGATGAATGCAATAAAGCAATTTGGCCAAATAGGAAGACTAAAGCCACTTTAGAAAACTTAGAACCTATTGGCTCAGTCATATGTAAATTAACCATGCTACCAGTTAGTTTAATGTACAATCATTCATATTTCTTCACTCGAAAATGACACATTAGACCCAATACAAATTCTTCTTCACGGCCCAGGAGAAATGAAGATTCCATCGAACAGAGATTCGAAGATCAACTAGAGTTGATCTGAGATTAATAATATCATCAATGACAGAACAATAAGTTTCTCGCCTCAAGATTCTCTAGAAGAATCAAACCAAGTAAGACTTTGTTCAAGATGAGAAGCAGTTTTCATAACTTCTAAATAAATGTGTATATAAATTTCGAGGATGAAATTCCTTTAAGGAGGGTATTGTCAAACACCACAAATTCTTCCAGACCTCACTTTATAGATCATGCTTGTATAAACTTAAGGATGATTTATTATTTGTAAAGCAATTTGACTGTTAAATGCATCCATTCTATTAAGTAGATGAGTTGGCAACCAAAGAAATTAGAATTTGTTCAAAAGCAATTCAATGTGATAAGGTGAATGGATTTTGAGGATGGTAGCCGACTAAGAAACTGAGCAAAAGAGATTTATTATGTGGTTTGAAGCTATAACTTTGGAATTTTATGACGATTGTATTCAAAGTATCACAGATTGAAGTTGACATCAAGATTCTATACAAAGAATGGTTTTTTTGGATTATATTTATGTTGACTAAAGTGTTTTGCCAATATTAATTCAAAAGCTATATACATGTTTACCTTAATAAATGATTTCTCAAGGCAGGCAAGGATCTTCATGCTAAAGCAGCAGAGTCTTTAAAATATTCATGTGCAACACACATATTGAGATTATATGTGTAAATCAATTGGGTTGAGTTCAAGTCACAATGCACTCAAGCTCAATTTATCAATCCAAAAAAGCAGCTTGAACTCGAGCTTAAGTTGAACCCAAAGATTAAGTTCAAGCTTGACTCGTTTGTTTATTACCCGACTTACAAGGTCCTTGAGAGGAAGTCAACATGGCAGCTCGTAGAGGTGTTATCGGAAGAAGTCATAATAAAAACTCAGGAGAAAGCGTCGACAAGATCGACGACTACTACCTAAAGAAGAGAAGAAATCACTACAAAAGCTCACTGGAGAAAGTATTGATGAGACCAATGGCCGCTCCTTGGACAGAGAAAGATGCGAGAACGATTCACTAGAAAATAAGACATCGCTAGCATTTTGTGAAACATAAACCATGAAATTTGTCGAAGGAAGAAATATCTATATAGAATTTGAATAAGACTTGACAAGAAAAACCAGACAAATAAAATAATGAATACTTTGCAACTTTTAAATTTTAATGTTCTGGTACATCAAATGTAGCCCCATATCTTTTAATCCTTATGGAACTGGGCCCCATCTCTTGCTATTAAAAAAATCATTGCAACACTTTGATGTATTATGTGAAGGTCACTTCCAACTATTTTGAAAAAATTTAAAATATCAAATTTAATTGAGCGAGCTCATGAGCCAACGAGCCTAGCTTTATTAAATTTGAACTCAAGCTCATTTACATATGACGTTGCAACTCGATACGTTCAATTCATAAGTTTAACTCTTG